CCAACGCGGGGCCAACCACCCAGTCTGCTAGCAGCCTGCCCCGGTGGCCCTAGGGGGCATCACCACCATGGTGGGGATGACTAGGGCTCCCTGCAGCCCAGGGCCCACCAGCAGCTCACCCCGCCCCAGCCGCAGGCAGGCACCACAAAAAAAAAAAAAAAATGGATTGGGCCCCTTACTGCTTTTTTTTTAATTCCCCCAGTGGAGCTTCCCTGTGCAAACTACCAGTGGCCTAAGTGGCCCCTGAGCTGCAGGGGTCCCCAGTCCTTCGCACCATGGCAGCACCCCGCAGGTAGGCTCCTTGTGGGCTGAGGGCTGCCCCAGCTTAGAGCCAGCACCTGCCAGATCTAACTCTTTCCCCAAGTCCATCTGTAGGGCATCACCCCATGCGCTGTCCCCACCACCTTTCCACTGCCTGGGACCACCTGGGAACAGGCTAGCTTGCCCTTGAGGCAGTGCAGGAAAGCAGCAGGAGGGTGGGTCCCAGGAGGTTAGCAGCAGGAGGGTGGCTCCCAAAAAGGGGGTGGAGACAGTGCACTGGAATCGCAGATTGGGCGCCTCCAAGCTGGGGCATGCCCTGGCCTGCTAGAAGCCTGCCCAGGTGGTTCTTGGGGGCACCACCGCTGCAGAGGGAAGGACTGGGGCCCCCCACAGCTCAGGAGCTACTCACCCACCAGCAGCTTGCCCCCAGCCATGGGAGAGGTGGGCAGGCTTCAGAAGGAAAAAAAAAAAAAAAAAGGATCAGGTCTTTTGCCGTAACAGTGATGGAATCCCTTAAATTGAAACAGTGGGTTTTTAACAGTCATGATTAAAAATCCACTGTTTCAATTTAGGCAACTAAACCCCACAACATGTGTACAAGCGCCCACAGTCGTTTTCTCAATCCAGGCTCTGCAATTTTTCCCCTAGGTTGAAAGGGCAGATGCTACCACTGTGCAGCTGAAGATCAGTGGACATGGGAGAGCATGCTGAGTGCAGACAAGATGTTCAAAGAGACTTTGGCAATAAACTGTTAACAAGCTGTACCAAGTAGGAGCAAACCGTCTTAACAGCAAACTGGGCTACATTAGTAGGAGCGCTGCCAGCAGATGGAGGGAAGTGACCACTCCCCTCTACTCGGCACTAGTGAGGGCAGTACTGGAGAACCGTGTCCAGTTTTGGTCCCCCCACTATAGAAAGGATATGGACAAATTGGAGAGAGTCTAGTGGAGGACAGTGAAAATGGTTAGGGAGCAGGGGCTCATGACTTTTGAGGAGAGGCTGAGGGAACTGGCCTTATTTAGTCTGGAGAACTGAAGACCAAGGGGGTATTTAATAGAAACCTTCAACTACCTGAATAGTGGTTCCAAAGGGGATGGAGCTGGACTGTTCTCAGCTGTGGCAGATGACAGAACAAGGAGCAGTGGTTTCAAGTTGCAGCAAGGGAAGTTTAATTTAGATATTAGGAAGAATTTTTTTTCACTAAGAGGATAGTAAAGCACAGGAACAGGTTACACAGAGGTGGTAAAATCTCTATCCTTGGAGGTTTTTAAGACCTGACTAGACAAAGCCTTGGCTGGGATGATCTAGTCGGGGATGGTCCTGCTTTGAGCAGGTGGTTGGACTAGATGACCACTCAAGGTCCCTTTCAACCCTAATTTTCCATGATTCTATGAAAATAATATCAACACCGGGAAATTTTCCCCCAATCTTATGTCAAGAAACAGTTATACGTGTTTTGTTGAAATCTTCAGGAAAGTTCAGCCTGTGGCAGAAAACAAAGAGGGCAACTTCAGCCTCATTTAAAGTTTCCAAAGTTTTACAAACTTCAGCCTCCTTTACATTTTGGAAATGAAAACAAGATTTTATAAATGAAAGTGTTTAGCAACCTTAGCCACATGCTCCATAACCCATTTTACCTATGCTTTGTATGGATGTAAGAAAAATCAATGGACTATTTATTTTTTAGATTTATATCCCACCATTAATAGATTCAAAGTCTGCAGAGGCCTCTTAGCTGGTACTTTCTTTATAAATTCTGCTTCAGACTCGTTCAGGTTTGCTTTGCAGTTCTTGCTGTCAAATGCTTATAAATCAAATCTGTTGGAGTAATGGCATCCACATTTGTACAGATATATTTTATACTTTCCCTCTTGGTTCATCTTCCTCAAGACCTCAAGAATAGAACAGACAAGTTAATATGTATTAGCTAATTTTGAAAAAAAAGGTGCAAGCTCTTACCAGAACAGACATCTCTAGAATGTCTGGCTGCTGAAGGTATTCTGGGTCTACTTTGGGCCAGGACTGTTGTAGCACATCAGCATCCCAGTTATACTGGGTGCAAAGTTTATTCTGCACATGTACCAAACCTGGAACAGCAAATTAAAAAAACAAAACGAAACAAAAACAAAACTGGGCATTCTTTAACCAACACATTAACTCTTTAGAGTTTGCTTGATAAATAAGTCAAAACACTGTTTACTTTAAATCATGCCTAATGAAAATCTCGTGGGAGGAAACCACACTATTTGGTTTTGCATGCAGCATATTAGAAACAGAAAGATCACAGCTTTCAGAGCTTTGAAGGAGCTCATGTAAATGTTTCTAGATTATGGTTAGCGCTCCAACACTTTTGCTACTTTGTTTTAAGACATAGACATAGAAAGCCAATACTTACAGTTAATTTCAATTGCTGCTACACAAGATGAAATCTAATCTTAATCACATTTTCTAAATCCTTTTCAATTGCAACTGTTAGTTGATTTAAATCATTACCTCCTAAGAACGCATACCTTTTATATTTTAATGACAAAGCCTCAGTGTGGCTCAATTTTTCCATTTGTAGAATATTGTATGACTCCAAATTCACAAGGATGATATTTGCAAGACCATGTAATGTATGTCTGCTAAGTGTTTTGAGACTCACATTAAAGGATTTCATTTAAGAAGTTATCCTAGCACTCTCGCTCACGCTCCCTGAAATATATTACACTTCTACTGGCCCGTGTACATTTTCTAGAAATGTTTTCCTTCCGCATGGCATACTTTCCTCTCTCACAGGAAAAGTAATTCCTGCTAACTGTGAGTTACGGGTAGATAGGATGAATACATACTGAAATAATTCTTGCATAGACTGAAAACTTAAATATGGGAATAAAATGTGGGAATAAAATTCTCACTTTCTGTGGGACACAAGAAAGAGAATGATTTCATTCACCTTGAACATATATAAACATATTCCAAAATTAAACTGACAGTATTGATTGCTTTTGTAATCATTTATGCTTCTTATAAAATCAGGGTTTTCTCAAAACCAACATGCTAAATCAGAGCTGTTTTAAATGTTTTTCTAAACCAAATAACTCAGAATTGCCAACTCAAAATTGGTGATGGTATGTGTAGCTGAAAATGTATTTTAAAATATGCAAAGATGTACCTCTATATGAAATAGGGTGAGGAAAAACAACAACATAAGACACGTTGTCAAGGATCAGGTTTAGGAAGCAGTTTGAAAAACAACAGAAAGACAGGAGGAGTCCACAACATTCCACGTAGAATGAACAAATACTTTTATCAAAAGGGTTAGGAAAGCCTAATGCACTGAATAAGAACAAATAAAGGGAGTGGAAGAGATAAACACTCTCAAAATTGAAATCTATCTGATAAAAGTTGCAGATTTCTATAAAAGGCACAAATATTTTTGCTATTTTCATAATGACTCAGAAAGGAGGTGAATTGGTAGAGTTAATTCTGAGGCCAAGCAAGAATATACATTAATTTAAGTGTGACAGAGGGCCCAATTTTGTTAAATAAACAGCTTATTAAATACTTTCTTGGGTTGCAGAAAGAAGTTTGGAATTTTCTGGCAAAGGAGATGAAACTGCAAGCACAAGAGAAGAACTGAAACTGTAAAAAACTTCATCATGGTGACTCATTTTCACATTGAGGTTACAGAAAACAGCTGCTACAGATAATTCTCTTTTTGGTTTTTCTATACATAGATGAGCTCACTCCTTTCCTACTGATCATATGCCTTGTGGCAACATGCATACCGGCCACTCCTTATTTTTCTATTTAAATGGATTCTTCACACTACTGAAAAAAAGATACTTTATGAAGAGTGTTAGCTAAGAGCGGTCTTCTATGGATGTGGAAGCTGTCAGTCCTCTGGACGCAAACAAAAAATAAAAATAAAAAGGATCCTCAAGTCTATCTTTGTTAATATATTACTTCACTACAAGATGCAACACCAGTTTAAAAAGTTCTGAACACCTATATTAAAAAGAAAAAAAAACCTACGAAACACATCAGCAGGCTGGTTTCTGAAACTGTGGTTTGACAGGAAACCGATATGAGGGTTTTACTTACCTTGCTTGCTTGGTTTCCTGTCTTAATTCTCATATTAGGAGCTCCAAGACATACAAAAGTCAATCCTCATAATTTGTTATGCAGTTTCAAAGCATAACAAGAAACAGAGGTTTTGTTGCCACAATCTGGAATTGCTTGCCCATTTTAAAAAGAATCTTGCCATCAAAAAAAAAAAAAAGGAATGAAAAAAAAAGGAAGAAAATCAACCCAAATTTCATTCTGCTGTAGCACAGAAAAGAGCCAATAATTACTTCTGAGCTTACTTATATTGGATTCCTTCATTAGCTTGAGGTTACCTAATGAAATGGATTTTATAGTGACATGTATTTTGCTCCTATTATTGTGGCCTGTTTTCTTCCAATGGCTGTGCATTCCCCTGCAAGAGTAGCAACCTGAATACCAACTGACATTTTGCTTAGGAATTATTAGCAATTATTATTATTTTTTTTTTTACAGGACTACAGTATGCAGAACATTTTGTAGACGTATAAAAGGCAACATCCTTGCACAATTCAAGATCCTTATTCTGCAATTTAAAGTATGTGGAGACTCCCATCCATACAGAGCCACACAGGCAACCAGGAAGAAATAATGACAGGATCAGAGTCCAAGTTAAAAATACAATATTTCTAAATGTGGCACACACAAAGGTGATTGAGAAAGAGTGGGTAAGGAGAAGGCAGGACATAGTTTACAACATGGAGATCATGTGAACTCTTACTAGCCTTGTGGGAGTCTGGAGTATTTCATAAAAAATAACACTTCCTTTAGTATACCATTATTTATAAAAGTACAGATTATTGGGCATATGGGAAGCTCCTTTTGAGAAGACTGGCATTAGGTCAAGAAGGGGATTCAAGTCCTAGATGACCACATGTTAGAAAGCATAGGAATAAGCTTGTGAAAAGGAAGCAAAGGAACAAATTGCACTAGAAAACACTGCCCCCACAATATTCCAGCAATGGTGTAGACAGCATTTATGCTGGACAATAGGCACAGACATTTCACAGAGTAGACCATGGCAAAGAGTATAATTAGGTATGAAATTTGGGTATGAAGGTACAGCAAAAGGAAGCTAGCAAAGGCAGGGAAGGAAGGAGGAGTTTGAATGTGATGAGGAAGGTGAGAAGAAATCAGTAAAAGGACTTGAAACAAGAACATAACTGGAGTCTAAGGCAAGGGACTCTGCAGAAGAAATACAGAAAATTAGGAGGCAATGCAGAGGGGTTACGGATAAGCATGAGATAAAATTTGAAGAGAATTCATGCTTATATTAGAAATTTTCAAATTTGGAAGAGGCAAAAGGAATGGAAGCATGCATTAAAAAAAACACCTTCACACTAATAAAATTAAGTATCTTTAAGCAGCATAATATAGCAATTTTTAATACTTTGCAGATTTCATATTTTATCTTCATGTGTTTGCTTCTGCCATCAATTCCAAGTGTATTATCATTACATGGCTTTGCTTTCGGTGTAGTTCTGTATTGCTGCCCTAAGTGGACTTTTTGTATTAAAGCAATCAAATCTGTCAAGTATCAGGATATCATTACAGCACAGAAGGTTCACATCTGGCAAGCAAATGTGCAATGTTCTGCAACAGTAGGACAATTAAGGCAAGGCTATGATAGTGGTTTCCAAACAGCTATCAGAAAAGCTGTGCAATGTCATAGATACCACATAAGTGAGTAAAACGTACTTCACTGAATGCAATGTCCTGGGGGCTCATTTGGTATGTCATGCAGCTGGACTCCACAAATTTCAAGTAGTATGAAAAGCAGGCCGAGATATCTAAAGTCAATTTTGGAAAGCTCTCCTACTCAGTTTGCTCCAAGAGAACCAGCACCAACCACCCTTCTAGTAAACTAAAGGCTGGAGATGGTTTGTCCTTCTTAGTTCATGTGGATAGCTCATCCTTGATCTTGGTTTATTTTTTGAGGTGAAGGAATTTTTATACGGTCACCCCTTTTCCCCCCATTTGGTGATTTTGCTTTTTGGGATTTTTACATTTGTGCTGAGCTTTATGATAATTGATAAGGCACTTAAAGGACCTTGTGTTTTGTGAACCATGAAAACATACTGGTAAACTCACAACATTACCTAAGAGTGTACAGTTACTATTCCTCACCTTGTTAGGTGAGGTACACTTTCCTATACCATCCTGAGTCATTCTTTTCTGTGCAGACTGAATGACTCGGCATCCTTTGCTCCAATACTACAACCTAATTCTGTTCACCTCCTGATTAGTGGCTTGGAGGAAAGAGCAAAATGTTGTCCCTGTGCTTCCATGACTCTTCAGGGGCATTTGTAAAAAAGGGTGGAAATTTGGTAAGGGCACACTGAAAGACATGGCTCAGATAACAGAACTCAGACACATCAATGCTAGACATGTGGTGTGTGCATGAACAAAGCGGAAGCATTTTTCCTAGTAATTTTAAATAGTTTTTCCTAAGCCCTTATTCTACAGGTAAATGTCTCTATGCACTCTGTATAAATCTCTATGTAGGTACTGAATGCAAACTGGCTGAAGATTTCAGGAATGGACTACTGTAGTGGCAGTTATTTTGTTTCCAAGGAAACTGCTGCATCACAAGTGCCAGGAATTATGCAGTTTCAATAAAACATGACAAAGAGCTGGGGTGATTAAATCTGTTTAAGGCACCTCTTTCACATGGCAGCTTTCATTCTTTCATGACAGAAGTACTTTAACACAAATGAACTCCCTCAAAACAAGAAGCTTCTTATCCTTGTCTGGATGGGAATATACTATGCTAGTACAAACAAACAAACAAACAAACAAGTCTCAAATTTACCAGTGGTGTCTGTATATTCCTAAAATACAAAGTTTCAGGAAGGAAATAGGTTTCCTCATCCTGTTAGTATTTGCAAGCTGCAAAGATGTCAGCCAGATGAACTCTTCCCACACTGAGGGGCTGTTACCTTTTCTTCATTAAACTAGTATAATGTGTATTTGTAGCAGGGTACATATTTGTCAGTAGCGT